CAGCTCAAGGCGAGCGCTCTACCACTTGAGCTACAGCGCCACTTCCGGTTTTCTGGTGGTTTATTGGAGATAGGAGTCTCACGGTCTTTCCTGCCCGGGCTGGCTTTGAACCGCGATTCTCAGATCTCAGCCTCCTGAGTAGCTAGGATTACAGGCGTGAGCCACCAGCGCCCGGCTCTTAAAGCTGATTTTATAGTTACTTCTCTGTTAACCATTGCCATTGTGAAAGTATGATCAAAATTTTGTTTTGTTATACTAAGTGTGACAGGAAGCAATGGAAGGGTTCTAATCATGTTAAGTGACATTATGTTACTTGTTTTGTAAGGCTCACATCTGTAGGCAAACAGAAAGGGTACAAGGACATGAGAAAATCGCTTGCTGCAGGAACCCAAGGGGAAAGTTATAATGTAGCACAGCGGTAGTAATGGTGGAAATGGGTTAGATGCTTTGAGAGTTGGTGGAATTTGCTAATGCCTATGTTGATGCAATGGAGGATCCAGAAATACCCTTTAAATTCTGCTCAAGCAGAGTTGAGAATTCAACCATGTTAGGTTGATGCCCATGTGGAATAGGCAAACAGAAAACTCTGGACTTGGAAGGAATGATATCACTGTTGGAGGTGAGAGTGATGAATAATTTTTAGTTTTTAAAGCTACTGACCAAATGGAATGATCTAAAGGATATTTAGATCTCCAGGCAAAGCTTTGGAGATACTAGTATTTAAAGGCTAAGAGCCAGCAAATGAAAGTAGAGACTTGCACAGAAAACTCCATCTTCCCAGTGATATCTTATGAAGATCTACCTGCCTTCCTCTCCAACTTTCTCTGACTACTCTTCCTACCACCTGTACCTTGTCTTGTCATTTTTAAAATATGAATATGCAAAGGGACTACACAGGAGGTATAGATAGGCATCACAGTCTGAGGCTGGCCCTGGGCAAAAAGCAGGATACTTCACCTGAAAAATAGCTAAAGCAGAAAAGGATTGAAGGCAAGGCTAACGTGGCAGAGTACCTACCTAGCAATCATGAGATGCTGGGTTCAAATCCCAGCCTTCTAAAATTTAACATTTAAGGTATTTTTGTTTTGTTGTGTAAGAAATCCAATTTTTATATCTATTACATCTATTATTACGTTTTCTTCATGAATCTAATTTGTAGCATTATGGAATGACTACGCTTAACAGCGCTTTTTGTGTGTGTGCATGTGTACATGCACATGCACCAGTCCTGGTGCTTAACTTCACAGCCTGGGCACTGTCCCAAGCTAGCACTCTATCATATGAGCCACAGATCCATTTCTGGTATGTGTATTGGTGGTGGTGGTGGTGGGGTTTCGTAATTGAAGGTAAGACTCTCAAGACTTTCCTGCCTGCCTGGCTGGCTTCTGAATAGCTAGGATTATAGACTTGAGCCACCAGGACCCAGCTACTAGTCTAAGAATGTAATCACACCAGTTTACTTCTGAGATTTCCTTTATATCTTTTTTCTACTCTTAATTCCAACCTTTCCATAACCTTATGTTTTGTGGATAAACACCTTTTAACCCAGTCTAAAATACCTTTTTACAAGACAAGCTAGCAAATTTATTGCTTTTATCCTAATTTCTCTACTTGGTCACTCACATTATCTCTATCTCACTTTTGATTTCTCCAAATGTGTCTCGACATTTTTGTAGAAATTTTTCTAAAGCCCTGACAGTATTTTTTATGCCCTAATATTAGAACTACTATCTACCTGGACATAAAATTCTAGGTTCAAAATTCTTTTCATGTTCCATTTCAGATCCTGAGCTGGTTATAATAATGACGATTTCTACTGTATCATCCACAAAGATCCTTTTTGATGTGGGTTCCCATCAAATCTGGTGATGAACTTCTACAGCTATAGTTAATCAAACATGAACAAGTCTGAAAAAAAATCAACTTTAGAAGACTAGTTCCCTCACATACTGCTGCTGTGAATATAAACTGGTTCAAATTGTCTGGAGTCATCTAGCCAATATCTTGACCTATATTTTACTTCTAGCCATGTATAAGGAGATAAACCAATAACATTTAAACAAGTACATACATATAACAGCATTGTGACAGGAAAACAAACTAAAACAACCTTATCTCCTTTATAATTTAATAATCTATAATCAACATACAGTGATTAAGATGACAGGGAAAAATACTTGAAACAAAAAGCAAGGTCTTTTTTATTTCAGAAGTATGCATATGTAGGTAGGAAACATCTGAAAGTTGAAAAAATTAGACGTTACCGAGTCTGTCTACATATCAAAAAGAGACTTGTCTGTTGAAATAGAAAATTGTACTATTTTTTTCTGTACTGGGGATTGAACTCTGGGACTCATATCTGCAAAGCAGATGCTCTACTACTTGAGTCATACTTGTAGTACTTTTCTGCCTTATTTCCAAGGTAGGGTTTCAATTTATGTAATCCTCCTACTTCTGTTCCTGTGTTGCAGGAAATGACAGGTGGGCATCACTATGCACTGTAACTGTGTTTTCCCTGTAGCTGGGATAATAGATCCATGCTACCACACCTAGCCACTGGTTGAGATGGAGTCTAACAAACTTATATGTCCAGGTTGGTCTGGCTCTGTAACAGCTATTTTGGCCTCCCAAGTAGTTGGGATTACAGGCTTAAGCCATCCCACCCAGCTGTTAATTGTACTTCATTTATAAAGAAAAACAATTTTATAGCACAATGTTAAACACATACAAATTCATACTGCTTTTTGACTTAAACATTGTGACTTAAAAAAAAACTAGAGAAAAATATCGTGTTATTTGTAGTTTTCTGAGAGGTGCTTTGTATACTCCATCTATGTAGAGTTACTGTGTTGCAAGCAGCTGATGTTTGCACCATTTGTTGCCCTGCAATTAGGCATTAATATAAGCACACTCCTAAAGATGAACATATGGGGGACTGAGAAGGTGGCTCAGTGATAGAGCACTTGCCTTGCATGCCTGAGGCCCTAGGTTCGATTCCTCAGTGCCACATAAGCAAAAAGAAAAAAAAGCCAGAAGTGGTGCTGTGGCTCAAGTGGTAGAGTGGTAGCCTTGAGCTGAAGAGCTGAGGGGCAGCGCCCACGCCCAGAGTTCAGGCCCCACGACTGGACTCAAAAAAAAAAAGATGGACATATGGATTTCCCCCCACAATAGACAGCTGTTAAGTGGAAAATGTCTGAGAGATAAGAGCTATTATCCAAAAATATTTATAGTAGCTTTCTCTAGATGGATGTTTTTCTCTTTTCTTCCTTTCACTACCCTGAACTTACTGTGATGCTACTGTGAACCTCTTTACCTTTATAATTTGACAATTTCTCCACACAGGTCTATTTTATAGTAACTAAGTGTTTAGTCAGTATGCCAGCCATTCAGACCACAGCCCTATAAACCTCCTTGAGCACACAATCTCATTTATTTACTTAGTACTAGGGTTTGAACTCAGGGCTTCACACTTGCTAGGTAGGTGCTTTACTGCCTGAGCCACATGTCTAGCCTTTTTTGCTCTGGTTACTATGGAGATAAACTCATACTTTTTGTCTGGGTGGATCTAGACCATGATCCTCCTACTCAAACTTTACACTATAGGTGGAATAACCACACACCACTACAGCTTTCTGTTGAGATGGGGTGTTGTGGTAAATTTTGTATGAGCTAGTTTAAACCAGAGATCCTTCCAATCATGTCCTCTCAAGTACTGAGATGACAGAGCATGAGTAGCTATGGATTGAGATGGATCTCCTGAACATTTTGCTTACTCTGGCCTCAAATCACTTATCCAATACCAGTATCCCCTATCCCAGTCTCTGCTTCCCAAGTCTAGGATTACAGCCACCAGTACCTGGCTGATACTTACCATTTGTTTATTTATTTACTTATTTTTGTCCAACAGGGATTAATTCAGGGCTTCTCACTCTAGCTCAGCTTTCTTGCTTATGGTCACCATTTGACCACTTGGACTACCTGGTCCTGTATGAAATTTTGATGATTAATTGGAGATGTTGTCTCTCAGACTTTACTGCCTAGGCTAGATTCAAACAGTGGTCCTCTAGTCTCAGCCTCCTGAGTGGCTAGGAGTACAGGTGTAAGGCACCAGCTCAGCTTCTCATTTATCTTAAGGTACCTTCAATTCCATGAGAGTGCCCAAGATCTATACAGTATAAGCTTATTTCAAGATGCTCAATACTGTACCTCTGAGATAAAATGTGACTGGTATTAAATAAACAAAATAAAGTGAGTCTTTGAATTACAGAGAGTAGAACAGTAAAGATGGTAACTTTTTACTATCTTATTTTACAATTTTTCTAAAGCCCAATATAAACAAAACATAGAAATGAGTTCTGCTTACTCAAATCCTCTTTCATGACTTTCACAGGTTGTTGTGTAGTGTGAAACTTAATATGTGATACTACTTAATATCATCTGCTGACTCTAAATGATAGAACAGAAACACACATTCAATCTAACATTTATTTATTTAGTTGGATTTTTGGAACTGTAAGTTACAATTACTGGTACACCTGTGATTCTTTTCAGTGTGTTCAACTAACAAAAAGGCAAACACAGCATGGGTTTAAGAGAAATCATGGTATTTCTTAGTGTGATTTGCAAGAGGGAAAAGTTTTGGGCCCATTCCTTGGAAATAAATATTTAGTAACCATAAAAATATTCAGCCACTTTTCAGTTATTCAGGGAGGTTTATGCATGGTCCCACGCAGAGCATCAGAGTTCCTCTTTGAAATATCCCAACTTTGCCAGTGACATCTCTTTTCTCAGCTGCATAACTTCCCAAAACATCTGATCAACTACACAAATGGAAAAGACACATAAATCATATCTTATTACCATCTTGATTATTGCTAATGTTTCACTAAAAATGTAAGATTAGCTAAAATGCCAAAGTGGGTATTTCCTAATGATGTTCTAATCCCTGGATTTTCTTTCAATATATTACACAAACTTCTCCCATGTACTTTTGGGCATTCCAATTTAATCAATAAATAAACAATATTTACTAGTTTTGTCATCCCTGTATTTTAGACATTGAAGACTATAATTTTAGGCTAAGGAAAGCATTTCAGTGTCATGAATAAATGTTAATTTTGTTTTCTTCAGTATTAAATGTTCAATTATTCAAGAGTCATTATGCAACTACAAATCTTCTTGTTCTAGTAATGCTCTCTACTTGGCTATTTTACTTTTCATAACCACTAGCAGTGAACTGGGAAAAAAGGGTAAACAAGATAATCCAGAAGCTCAGGAACATTCTTTGTAATCAGAGAGAAGTTTTTGTGTAGCTCAAATTATAAATAAAAATGATTGCTTAGCATGATCTATATATTTCAACTATATATGTGGTCATCTTTATTCCATTGAGAATTATTTCATGGTTGCTGTTTATGTTAGACAATAAAAAGTCTATGACCAGATTACAATGATTTATCAGTGATTCACCACCAGGAGACTTCTGCCCCTCAGAATACATTTGGTAATGCCTGGATACATTTTTAACAGTTACATCCAGTAAGTAAAGGTCAAAGATGCTATTAAATACCTACTTCAACTCATAAGACATCACCTACAACAAAGAGTTATTCAGCTAAATATCCCATACTAAAAGTTGAGTGTCACTAAGATTCAGGTTTTGGCTTTTTTTTATATTTTTGGGATTTCTGCATGTGTACAGTGAGAGTCTTGGGAAGAGGGCAGAAGTCTAAGCATGAAATTCATTGATACTTCATATAAACCTTATGCACATAGCTCAAAGTGTATCTGAACTCTGACTCTGATCACATGAGAGTCAGGTAGCTTATTTTCTACTTATGGCAGCATAAAGATGTTTGGTATTTTGAATTTTTGGATTAGGGATGCTTAAATTGTAGTATAAAGGTTAGGAAACCCTGCCTAATATTTAATTGCCTTTTAACCCTTTGTAGCAGAAGACACAGAAAATTGAACTTCCAATACGTGAAATATTTACAAATTGTCCCATAAAATATATGACACAATACCATTTATGTAGTGCAGAGTAATGGAAACTAGAGAAGATATAATTTTCCTCCTAATTCAAGAAAAGAAGGCTGCAGTGAACTGAATAAATATTACTACCACTTGTGATACTGTTTTCATAGATACATACCAGATTTCCTGCAAGTATTTTTTAATTTTGTTTGTTTATATTGGTCATAGAGCTTGAACTCAGGATCTGGATGCCAATTCTGAGCTTTTGTGCTCAAGGCTAGTACTCTACTACTTTAGCCACAGCTCTTTTTCTGGGGGTTAACTGAAGATTAAAGTCTAATGGCTTTTCCTGCCTGGGCTGTCTTTGAACCTCAATCCTCAGATCTTAACCTCCTGAGTAACTAGGATTACAGGTGTGAGCCGCCAGTGCCTGGATCCTTTTTAAACAAAGAGGACAATTTAAGTTAACACAAATCTCCATTTTCCAATTTAAACATTATCCACCAGCATGTTTTCAAAAGGATTTCAATTTATTAAAGTCATTAAAAATATTAACTTAAAGACTACTTTTGTTACATAGCCCTTTGAAACTCCATATTAACTATAGGTAAGTTTCCTTTCGTATCTGTTCTTTTTTTTTTTTTTTTTTGGTCAGTCTCGGGGCTTGAATTCTGGGCCTGGGTGCTGTCCCTCAGCTCTTCAGCTCAAGGCTAGCACTCTACCACTTGAACCACAGCACCACTTCCGGTTTTCTGAGTGGTTTATTGGAGATAAGAGTCTCATGGACTTTTCCTGTCTGGGCTGGCTTTGAACCTTGATCCTCAGATCTCAGCCTCATGAGTAGCTAAATACTAGCCTGTAATACACAGGCATGAGCCACCAGTGCCCAGCTTTTGTACCTGTTCTTGTAGGCATTAAAACTGAAGTATATGGCAGTCTAAAAAATGTGATTTAGCTAAGGGATCTGAGCTTAAGAAAAGCTACACTAAGTTTTTATCAGCATGACACATGTCCCACAGAATTGAGATTCGATAGTTTGTGCTACAGAAAAGTAAACTTGTACTAATTTAAAAGCACAAGAATATTTTCATCATTTGTAAAATATGAAAAGGAAATTTTCACACAACTTCAAATACAAAACTGGCAGACTTGTTCCTAACCCAATATTTAAATTTCAGTTTAGAAACAACCACATGCACTTAAGATATGCCTCTTTGGAGCTGCTGGGTCATATTAGTTTTTATGTTTGGTACTGAAGCTATCATCAGCACTCATGGAAGCCTGTTTAAAAAAAAAAAAAAACAACACACTTGCATGAGGTAATCTGCTTGAAAATGTATCATCTGCATGTTTCTGCTGAATTAGAATGTGGTCATCTTTATTCCACTGAGATGGAATTTACTCTTGAATTTTAATGAAAGGATTAAATACAGTATCTTTAGAAGAGAAACTGGTTCCTAAATTATCTACACATCCTATTAGAACTAAAAAGGGCTCAAGATAAATGTAGAACAATACAATTTAAGCATTATTACTTGTCCTATACTTTTTGCTAAACTTACATCACACATTTATAATGAATTAAGAACACTCACCATCCTGCTGTTTTACTAGTCCCTGCTGAATATATCGAATGTACGTAAAAAAATTACATACAGACGTGATCTAAGACAAAAGGAAAAAATGTCACAATTAATATAGCATCTTTTATCAAAACAAATTTTATTAAAATGCATGGTTTGTCACTTACCCTATATCTGCAAAAAGGAGAAATATAATAATAGTTGCTTGAGTCCCCTAGTTTAATTCTGTGTTTACAGGATTTACTCTGCCCAGTGAGAGCGCATTTTCTGTAAAATAATCATAAATTTCACTTTTTTAAAAAATTAAGAGCATTTTACCCTTACCCTCAGTGTAATATGTCTATATTCATTCAGTAAGACGATAAATATTTGAGAACCTATCATTCCATGTAAAGGCACTGTTCTAGATGTTGGGCTATAGTACTGAAAAGGACCACGTCTTTACCATCTGAGACTTATATTCTAAAAATAGAAGCTTTCCACATTTCATATTTACAAATGAGTAATCAGCTGTAGGACAGTACTTAGCTTTCTACCACCTCTTCAATTTTTCAGCTAAAGAGAACTTAATCATGATTGTTCAAGTCTCAAAACCTTGATAGTTTTCAAGGTAAGAGATTCCACATGGGGTGCTTTATACATTTAGTGTGGGACATAGGGAAAAGTACAAATGAGTAAGCAACCTAATACACTTACCAAAGAATATATTACATGTGCCCTTTCTATCTGTGTACTATAAAATCTAAAATCTGGTAAAAGAATTCAGTTTTGTGTTAGGTTATTAACTGTTGAAGGTAGGGATTTTGTTTTGTTTTGTTTTTTGCTGGTTCAGGAGTTTGAACTAAGGGTCTAATGCTCACTTGTTTGGCTGGCATTCTACCACTTGAGCCATGCAACCAGCCTGGCTTTTTGCAAGTTATTTTGGAGATAGTCTCATACTCTTTTCAGGTCTTGGCTGGCTTTGAATGAAAATCCTCTGGATATAATCCTGCTGAACAGCTAGGATTGTAGGTGTGAGTTACCAGCACCCAGTTTATATCTATTCATCTTTAAAGCCCGGCACAGGCTTGGTGCCGGGCACACAGTGACTACTGAATAATTGATGAGCCCCCTATCACTCAACTGCTCTAGAGAAGAAAGAAGCAGACAGTAGCCTAGCTGTCACCTTTGTAAGCTAGAAATCTGAATGAATACAACTATCACTCTTTGTCAATGCAAAATTAGCATCACTATAAGTAAAATAGACAATGACATTTATGACATCATAAGCTGCATAATATTGAAAATATACAAGATAAATTAAATAGGAAAATTTAAATTCTATAATAAAATTGTTACATGCTATATTTAAAATAAGATAGGACATAGTCATTTCATGTGTATAAACTATTATCACCACATCTGATTCTTCATTGGAGGAGAGGGTTAAAGGACCAAGATAATTTAAGACTGTAAATCCTTTTTTACCTAAAATTCAGAGGTCACTGTGCTACAGTTCTGTCACTGGACAATGTAACACAGGATATAACTCTCAATGGAAGTGTGGCTTACAAGATTAATACATGACTAGCTACACTCTGTAAACAGCCACGTAATACCAACACTCTGTAATCCTGAGAATGTACATTCATCACAGGAGACTGAACTACACAACTTCTACAACAGACTTTAACACCGACTAAGTAGTCTTTTCTTCTTTGGGTATCACAATAACTGATGGGAGTCAATGTCTGTCTTCTATGAACACTTTCAGGCTTTCCAACTTCCATATTAATCTGCTTCTTAACCTGTAAGTAAGCAGCTTCCTCAAAACTTTTCCAAGTCATTTCTTTTTCGTGTGCTAGTACTAGAGTTTAAACTCAGGGCTCTATATTCTCACTCAGCTTTTCCATTTATAGTTGGGCTCTCACATGATGCTAAATCTGAAGGGCTATTTATTTCCCTCATTGCCTTTGGGCTACACAAAGTCTAAATAGGAGAAACACAATCACATTTAAAACAAAAAATAAATGAATAGAAAACTGTGGCACACAAAATTTTAAAACACACAATCTTCCATAAGTCACAGATGTGAAATACCTACTTTGGTCCTCCACATTCAACTGCAGAAGCTTTCACAAATCGAATGGGTTGTAATCCCACTGGCTCAATGCTTAGAGTATTGTTTTCCACAGCCTCCAGGACAGCAGAAGCCAACTTAAAAAATAAATAAAGTTTTCTTGTTTTTCACTGACTTGGACTTAACCAATGCACAAAAAGAAAACACAGTCTTGATTTAATTTCATTTATAATGTAAACATTGACATAAAAGGCAACTCAGTTATAGTAAAATAAACTTTTTTCAAGGATTATTTCCAATCTGTTTATTTTTTATCCACAATTAACATCCACTTTAAATGCCATTTCAAAATTAATATCTAATACTTTATTCAGCTAAATTTATAAAACTGATCATTTACAACAGTGACAGATATTAATTATAACTATATATTCTCTTAACATATTTATATGCATAAAAATCTACAAAAAAGCTGAAATTTTTAATAAAATAAGAATGGCAAACTTCTTCAGTCTAGCAAGATTACAAATGCTATATGACCTACCAGAAACCAGCTACAGAACACACTAAACAGCAAAGGTTCATTTCAAAGTATTAACTCATTTTCAATTATTCTTACAATAAATGTTAAAATAAACAACCTACATAAGGCTCTTAACGATTAAGTTCCTTAAACATTAATTGATAGGATATATAAACACATGTGAGGACAAATTGAAATTATGATTTTACATTAATATAGTGACTGATTGTTTTAAGTTTTTATACCTCTCTCATCTTTCTACTCTTAATTCTCTGACATAGACATTGGTTTTTCTGCTTTAAAGATGGAAAAACTAAATGTGCCCCCCTTTTTTTGTAGTGCTGAGGATCAAATTTGAAGCTAGGCAAGAGCTCTAACACTAACATAGACCCAAAATTCCATAAACATTTTTTTAATAATACAGAGATAAACTCAACAGAGTATGTAAGGAACTTCCCTCAAGTTATAAGTCAGAAACAAGCCCTCCTCCCAAGCATACTTATGTTTCACTCCAACACAGTACACATTCAGTGTGAATGACCCTCTGACTCAAATAGAAAGAGATGTTCAATAACTGAATGGCAACAATTAGGGTCCTAATATGAAATGGAAAAAATGACAAAACATGACACTTCTTAATTAATTTATGAGGTATAAAAATAACATGAGTCAAAAAATCTATAAAACAACTGTCATATTCCTATTAAAATAAAAAAAAATTACCTCACTTTTTGAGAATGTTAAACATGGAAAGATATCTTCCTGATAGATTTTGTCCAAGAAAGGACATGTTCTGTCCATTGTAGGCTCATCCTTCCAAGATCTGAATTCATTATACAGAGATAGATCAGCCTAACAAACCAAAAGAAAACAATTTTTTAAAAACAAAAAACAGCTATACTACTGAAAGCAACCTACAGATTCAATGCAATCTCCATCAAAATCCCAATATTATTTTCACAGAAATAGAAAAATCAGTCCTAAAATTCATATGGAAACACAAAAGACCCCAAACAGCCAAAGCAATCCTGATAGCTAGAGTAGCCAGAACACTACTGGATATACAAATTATACAACCAATCATAATAACAAAAATAGCATGGTACTGACATAAAAACAAACAAATAGACCAGTTTAACAGAACTGGTGATCCAAAAGTAAGTCCACATAGTCACAGCCATCTGATTTTGACAAAGAAACCAAAAACATACACCAGGGAGAAAAAGACTGCTTACTCAACAAATGGGGCTGGGAACTGGATATTCAAACTAGATACTATCTCTCATTCTGTATAAAAATTAATTCAAAGTAGATTTTTTTTAAAGACCAGAAACTTTGAAACTACTGGAAGAAAAAAACATGGAAACCATTTGATATACACATAAGAAACTACTTTCTGAATAAGCCTGATTGGTGAAGAAAATAAGAGCAAGAATGTACAAATGGGATTGTATCAAATTTTAAAGGTTCTGCACAATAAAGGGAACAATTACCAAAAGAGAAAACCTACAGAGAATCTTTGCCAGGTATTCATTAGATAAAAGACTCATACCCAGAATATGTAAAGAGCTCCAAAAATTGAAAATCAAAAGAATTAAGAAACAGTTAATGAATAAATGAATTAAACACGGTTCTCAAGAAGTACAAATGGCCAATAAATACACGTACTGTTTAATATCTTTAGCCATAAAAGAAATGAAAATCAAAATAACTGAAATTCCATTTCATCCCACACAGAATGGCTACCGCCAAGAAAGCAACTAACACTGGTGAGAATGTGGTGGTGGTTGAGGGACCTTTATGTACTGCTGATGGGAATGTGAATTAATGCAGTCACTATGGAAATCAGTATGGAAGTGCCTCAAATGTGCCTAAAAATAGAATTACTATATTATCCATTACTATATTATCCACTACTGGATAAGTAGTAAGTCAGTATAAAATAGAAATACCTGTACATCTTTTTATAGCAGTCACAATATCCAAATTATGGGATTAGCCCATACACCCATCAACAAATGAATAAAGAAAATGTAAACAAATAAAATGGAGTATCATTCAGCCATAGGAAGAATAAAATTATTTCATCTGTAGGAAAATGAATGGAACTGGATATCATCATGTTAAGTGAAATAAGCCAGACTAATAAAGTACCATATGTTCTTTGCAGGGAAAAAATGATATCATGTAAAACAGAGACTGATTGAACAGAAAACAGTAGAACAGATGGGGGTGAAAGGAGAAGGTGACGGAGGTTGACTATGATCCAAGTATTTTACATGCATTTATAAAAATGTAAAAAATTCTAAAACTTGATTTTAAAAGATAGAGGGTGGGTACAGAAAAGAGCAAAAGAGGGCTAAATTGATCAAAGTATATTATGTTCCTATACAGAATTATCTAAATCAAACCCCTTTATACAACACTAATTTTTTTAAAATCTTATTGTCAAGGTGATTGTACAACAATAAATTTTTAAGGTATGTTAAAAAATGAATTCCAAGAAACTGGTACTTCAAAAGTAGAGAAAAGGGAACAAGGGAGGTAGAGGGAGAATGGAGTAATGATATTCAATGCATATCCTACAAAATTAAAAAGCTAAGGGGAGGGGTTGAGTGGGAAGGATGGGAGAGAATGATGAAAGGGTGACACTGATCAGATTCATTACATTCATAAACTTATTTGTTGAATAGTTAACTCCCTTATACAACTACTTAATAATAAAAATATAATTTTAGTAGGTATGTTGCTAATATAATGACTAAGTGTCCTGTCACATTTTCTACAGAAACATACACATACTTCTTTTATGTTTTCTTTGTCTAATAAAATGTTACTTTTTTCACAACATGTAAAAATACAAGACAACACAAGTACATATGTGGGCCTATTCATATTTTAGGGATTTGAAAAAACAAAAATAAACTTTTAAAATGTACTGCAACAAATTATTTTAATGTGACAGTAGGGGTAAGAGTACAAAATTACATCTACTGAAAAAATACAAAGTTGTAATAAGCAATTGAAATTCTATTTGAATTCCAAGAAATCAAATTAAAGTTATAACTAAAGTAATTTCCCTAAACATTTCATAGACACCAATGTGAACTTTAGATACTGATTCATTCAGATTTCAATACATATTGAACGTCTTTCAATTTAGCATCTTTTAATTAATTGAACAAAACTGTTTGATTTGATTAAAATACTGAATTCTTGTCATTCAATTTAATAAATTCCTGACTCCACGAAAAAATTAAACTGAATAAACCCAAATAGCAGCTTCTTCAAGATTAATGATGGACATAAATTCAACAATACAATACATAGCTTTAAAAAAATGGAGGACAGTGCTTCATGAATTACCAATTTATCCCTTTGGATGAACAAACCTTTTTTGTGTGCCAGTCCCAGGACTTGAATTTGGACCTGGGCATGGTCCCTGCGCTTTTGTGCTCAAGGCTAATGTTCCACCACTTAAAGCCACAAGCCACAATGCTATTTGTGGCATCTTGGTATTTAATTGGTGATAAAGAGTCTCACAAACTTCCCTGCCCTGGCTGGCTTTGAACACAGTTCCTCACATCTTAACCTCTGGCATGAGCCACTGACACCTAGCACAAACTTTGTAATCACACAATTTTTATTCTCAACTCTCAAAATATTTAAACATTTTCTGTATACTGTTAAAACCTAGGTTCTAAAGTATAAGGTTACCACAATTTCTATTTTTGTTACTTAATTCCATGGATGAATTCTTTGGACTCCTTATCAATATAAAATTCTGCTTTTCTAGAATTAAAGTAAAAGCAATAAATACACTAGATTTTAAGAAATAATCTATTTTTCACATATATATTACATTCATAATTTCACATTCTAGGACATTAAAGCCACCCACTCTCCCTTCTGTAACACATGACAGTTTTTTTCCTAAATGAAAAAATGAGCTTAAGAAACTTACCAAGTTTCCAGCAGGTACACTCCAAGGTCAGCCAGGTAGAGAATGGAAGTGAAGAATCCCTGAAAGCAGTCAGCTCTACATAAAGCCTCCCCCATCTTAATACTGTATATTTTGTACTAAAGATTTTGCTGGCATAATATCATAACTGATACCTCAGTGATGAAAATTAACAAGTATCAACAGAGTCAGAGGGGACAGTCCTTGTCGAGTTACCTCTTTGCAGTCTTTTACAATTGGCTGTATCACACTGAGGTCCTGGGGACTGCCACTCATAGCACTGCTTGTACTTTTATTTCTTGAATGTCCCTTTTTAAAAGGTGTCTTTACACCTGGCAGAGGCTCTTGTGTAGGTGATGTTGGAGAACTGGACAATACCAGTGTCTTTAATGCAGCCACTTCAGCTTGAAGTACATCAATCTTGAAAAGAAATCAACATAGTCATGCACACTGAAATGTTCTAAGACAGATACAGCTGAATGTTAGCAATTTGGTAAAAACGTAAAACAGAAAAGCTTAATTTGTATTTCCTATGAAGTAATAAAGTAAAATTATATCCAAGTTTTCTAATATTTCCATATGGTTTGGATTCAGAGACAAGTACATCAAAGTAAAGTTTTTAATTGTCAAAATTAATCTAAGCATTTATGCAATTTTCCAAATCATCAAAATATAATAACATAATTCATTGTAGTTCACTCCTAAAATAAAATCTACTAGCAATTAAATGTTGTTTTTGGTGAACTAAGAAAATATGTACTAATATTAAAATATAACTATATAATTCTTTAGAGTGATTTACAAGGCTTTAAATCATCTGGTTTTAATATAAATACACACCAATGTTTACTATAGCAGCCATTTTCTTTATATTTTTCTATAGTTTCCAAATCTAAAATAGGCACATTTACAAAAGTCAGAACAAAATCTGATAAGAAAATATCTGAAAACAACAATCACAAATTTCTCCCTAGTTTGTATTATTAAAGACAGTAAAAACTTACTTTCCCTTGTGCCTCTTTCAGCTGTTTTTCTGCTGTTGCCTGCTTGACATTTGCTTCTCTCACCATCTTATGAGCTTCCTGTAAAAGTTAATATCTCAATTTGTTGGTTTTTTTTAAGATTTTTTTTCCTTTTTTAATTTTTTGTTCATGGCCTCCCAGAAAAGGTTTGTCTTGGATTTCTTCCTCCCTGCCTAGGCTTCAAGTTGCATCACTACCAGGTAACCTAACATGTATGCAAAGCCTTACCCCTCTGTGCCTAGTGGGGAAGATAGACACTTGAAAGCATCAGGGATGTGTTTTGTTTTAAAGCAAATCCTGATATCTAAGAGGTAAGCATGGGGTGATTGTTTTCATTGCCCCACTCCCCTTAAAAATATCTAAACTTTATACAAGGATTTCTCAGGGAATTTAGTTTAATGTGAGTATTCTAAGTAAGAGACAGTTTACAAAACTCCTACTCATACTCCACTTTTTTTTTCTAAGAACTCATCTATTGTATAAAATTAAGTCAAACCACATTGTTACAGTCAGCACGATTATATCAGTTCGTTCATATAATAAAAACCACCAGCCGGGCGCCGGTAGCTCACGCCTGTAATCCTAGCTACTCAAGAGGCTGAGATCTGAAGATCTCGGTTCAAAGCCAGTCCAGGCAGGAACTCCATGAGACTCTTATCTCCAATAAACTGCTAGAAAACCAGAAGTGGTGCTGTGGCTCAAGCGGTAGAGCTCTCACCTTGAGCTGAAGAGCGCAGGGACAGCGCCCAAGCCCAGAGTTCAAGCCCCATGACCGATGACAAAACAAAACAAAACACCAGCTCCATTGTGCCTCATAGCTAACAAAGCATTTTCATGACTCTGATCTTACAATAACCTCCAATGAGGAAGTAATTGCTCTTCTCTAAAACATGCCAATCCAGAAACCTAAAGCTCAGGGAAGTTCAGTAGTTTAAGGATGTAATGATGGGTAGTAAACACAGGATTGGAGCCCATGTCTCTGACATAACTATACTCTTCTCTCTTTTCCTGAGAATGTCTCCAGTTAAATTTTTTCCCAGAATCCATTTATTCAGATTGTTTCCTCCTCTCAAAACTGATATAGATAGGTTGATAAACAAGAGAACAGTGCTTCATACACCATGTTTCATAGACTCAGAACATACTCATTAGAATGGGAAAAGGGAGAGGGTAGAAAGACCAAATAAACCTAAGAATACCTAATTGTTCTTCAACTCTAGTACCCTCACTGTTCTCTGTGTTTATATCTCAGTTCTGTTTTGAAACAAAATGGGAAAAATGGATGCTATACATTTAAAAAGTTATAAAATCTTTTATCTATAAAAAATAGTGGAAGTAAGTCATTACAAGAGACCCCATCCTTAGTGCAATCTAACCTCTAAAGGTGAAAATAATGGATTTTAATACAAACATTGAGACTTGACACATTCAACAAAACCTAACAAAGCACGGCCATCCTATTAATACTCTGGTGGTCACTATTAACTCAAAATTCCATTTAAACTTGTTTATTTATTTTTCCTTTGGTGACAGGAAAATCTGAGGTCTACATTGATTATTTTCTTTCTTGTTTGAGGAAAGAAAGACCTTATGCTTGGGTCTGTGCTTTTTTTTTTTTTTTGCAAAAGACTATTTTCTATTATAATTTAGCTTGGTGACTTTTGTGACATTCTTGATGGTTCTTTATATCTAAAGATACGTTACTTTGTGCAAATGTCTATATCTGAATTCTTTTATCTAATTTTATCTAATTATTTTATCTATCAAATTTTGGAAACAAATTTCTTTCACTAAGCATCTATAACTTAAGCAAAGACATACTGCCAAAATATAGTCTGAACTTAAGAATCTGAGGTCAACTATAGAAGTAACAGTTGACATCAGATGCTAAATAGACTTAGGAATTTAGTATTTATTACCAATGGGGCAGCCAAGTTTAGTTCAGTCCTTTTACTCAATGTTTGCTTACGTAAGGATTGTGAATGGGGTGAAAGAAAACAGACAACAGCCCACAAGTAAAAGCCAACTTCTTTTGCAGTTAGCTATATCACAAATTGACCATTGTTTACTTATTTATACCATTAGTCATAAGAAAAATATACAGAAAAACAAGCAAAAACTATCAACTCATTAATAGCACTGTTGTTTATAGGAATGACATGTGAGAAGTCTTAGAAATTCCAATAAAACTTTCACAAAATAGTAGGTGAAAATTTTGTACAGAGCAATCTGAAACGGCAAATCAGAGTTCTTTAAGAACATCTTAATTGTTTTAAATCCTCAATTTTGAAGCTCTAGATAGTGAGCTTATATTCTAAATACAGTCTAATAAGTGAATAAACATCAGGGTAAGAATTCTAGATGAGCCAATTCTTTATAACAAGTGCCTCAGAAATGGTGGGAAGAAGGATGAACAAATGTAGAAGTGATACTAGACACTATGTTGAAAATGAACTAAACAACTTGTGGGGGAGAGGGGTCAGAAGGGAAAAACTGGGAGAAAATGAGAGAAGAGGTGACACTGTTCAAAAACAAATGTACTCATTGCCTGACTTATGTAACTGTAACCCCCACCTTTATAATAAGAAAAAAAGAACAAGTACTTCTGTCTCTAACTATTTCTCTCTCAGTTAGCAATATATCTTATTGCTTCTATGTGCTACATGATCATGGTACTCCTATTGAGAATCAATGCTTTAGGTGGGTAGACGTTTTGGAAATAGAGAGGTATGTCTTCTAACATTTCTCAAATCACCTTACTTTTGTTTCAGAGTCATAAATGTTATTCTTAACTAATCCATAATGAACAGTAAAATTAAAATTTAAAACATTTACTTCTTTTCTTTCCACATATATTTTTCACGTTTTTGTTTTTTTTTTTTGGTCCGGTCGTGGGGCCTGAACTCTGGGTCTGGGCGCTGTCCCTCAGCTCTTCAGCTCAAGGCTAGCGCTCTACCACTTGAGCCACAGCGCCACTTCCGGCTTTTTTCTTTTTTGCTTATGTGGTGCTGAGGAATTGAACCCAGGGCCTCATGCATGCAAGGCAAGCGCTCTACCACTGAGCCACCTTCCCAGCCCCCTTTTCACATATATTTTTAAACTACTTTTACTGGTAACTCAGTGGGTTTTTTCCTTTCCATTTTCAGTTACAGACTTTAAATTCTTTGAATTTTTAAAAAAAATTGTACTTAGAGGATTTAGGAATATACATGAAGTCAACCATAACCTTTGCAAATATATAAAAATTTAGATGTTCCTGCTGGCCAAGATAAAATCAAGACTAACCTCAAATAGACTAGCTGTGAGTTCTTCCAGTTCTTGTCCAAGCTGATCTCGTACTTTTGAAAGCCTCTCACATTCTTCATCTTTTAACTTCAACTCCTACAAGAAATTGATCATTTTAGTAATTACTTGCTAAATGGATGGCAATTAAGCAAGTTTAAAATTACAAACACTTCCACATTAATATTAAAACTGCCCATTTCTTTCATAAAACATCAAAGATCAACTACAAATATATATTATGAGAGTAAGCAATAAAACATAAGAAGAAATATATAATAACACAAAAGCTGGAAGGGGAAAATACAAATACACTTATTTTTGGTGCTAATCCTGGGGTTTGAACTCAAGATCTGGGCACTATTCCTTAGCTTTTTTGCTGAAAGCTAACACTTGAGCCACAGATCCACTTCCAGCCTTGGAGATAAGAGTCTCACAAACTTTCCTGCCAGGGCTCACTTTGAACCATAGCTCTCAGCCTCCTGAATAGCTAGGATTAAAGCACATAAAAGCTAGGAGTAAAGCACTGGTGCCTGGACAAAATTACTCTTTTGTAAGATTCTTTTTTTTTAATTGTGAAAATAATGTACAGAGGGGTTACAATTACACAGGCAAGGTAACGAGTACATTTCTTAACAAGCATTGTTACCTCCTCCTTTGTTTCCCCTTCCCATCTCCCCCCAGCCCACCCCTCCCCTCCCCCCGCCCCTGGCCAAAGTTATAAAGTTCATTTTTTGACATAACGTCTTGTACATCTCATTGTTGCAATGGGTCCACTTGCATCCCTATTTAAACAATTTGTCTTTTCCCTTCCCCTCCACAAATTATACCAACATCAAATATAGTGAAAACAGGGGTTATACCAGGGGGGAGGGACATACAAAGCAACAAAGAAATCATCTTATAAATATGGTAGAAACAATCGCAAGAAAGAAAAAACATTTGAATCTTTATCTTGGGGTTCATTTCATCTAACATCAACTTATCTGACTGTTTCTGCTTGTCTCAGACATATACTAGCTATTGCAAATAAGGGAAACCATGGGACCTATGTTTCTTTGGGCCTGGCTTACTTCACTTAATATAATTGTTTCCAAGTCTTTCCATTTCCTTATCATCACTGGAAAGTAGACTGTAACAATTTAAAGATGTATTATATATAGCCTAAAGCAATTACTAAATTAATGTAATAAAATAAGCTAAAGGATATAAAATTATTTTTAAATTCTGATTACAAAAGAAGACATAACAGGAGGGAAAAGGAGGAAAGGAATCAGATGGGACAGCAAATAGAAAACCAATAGTAAGATGGCAGATATAATGAAACTTTATCAATATTATATTGAATGTACTAGGTCTAATTAAATGACTGAGATTATTATAAAGGATAAACAGCAAAACCAAAGTATACACCTTCTGCAATAATATCACTGCAAAATTGGAAGATATAAATAAGTTAAAGGTAAAAAGATTTTAAAAAGTCAACTAAGAAAAATTAGAATAAAGAGAATGGCTGTTGATTCACAACTTGCTAGAATTCAAAAAATATTTTCATATTTAAAGGTCCTGGTCAAGTATTGAAGCCTAAGTAAACAATGAAACTATTTCGTACTCTTCCTAATAAAATTTACTATATACATACATATATAGGCTCATAATTTATTTTCATTTCAAGTAATTCAATACAGCAAATCAAAACTTGATACAGCACACACCATAGTTCCAAAATTGCACCATCCAATTTGGTAGCTTTTATCCTTAATTTACAACAAGAATTTCCCAACTAAGACACTATAACCTACTGATCAGTAAGTAAACATCATGTCTTCAAAGATGGGATATGTATGATCATAGCTTACCTCTACTAAGCTGGGATTTCACTAAAATACTGTGTTAAGACAAAGTCTAAGCCAAATGATACAAAATGCAACCATATCCCACCACATCCCTTCCATTCAGGAAAAGTTTAAAAGGCTGATGATTTTTCTTCCTAATGAAATATATTTTAACAAAAAAAATTTTTTAATATTATCCGCATGGCTATTTAACCGTTAGCCATGTACTGAAGCATGAATAGAAAGATATGTATGCCATGTATTGTTCTACATTAGGCTAGGCAGCAGGAATTAAAAAAAAATAAAAATAAAACAGTTATGCCCTTGAGAGCCAAATATGGAAGGGAACGGATAAAATAGATATCTGGTACTAAGTTGAAAAAAACTTTACAACTTCCAGGGGAAGGGAGGGAGGAGTTGGGAGTAAGAAGGGAAGGGATGGTAGGGGAAAAACAAAGGAGGGGGTAACAATGCTCTATAGGAACATTACCTTACTCAGGTAGCTGTAACCCCTCTGTACAGTATCTTTACAATAAAAAATATATATTAAAAAATAAAATGTCGGGGCTGGAAAGGTGACTCAGTGGTAGAGTATTTGCTTGCATGCCTGAGG